TGCAGATAACAGTTGCACTTAATAATATTACAAGCACATGTACTTGTGTAAACATTTAAGAATTGTGAAACAACAATTTTTTCGTCAATTTTACAAACTCTGTATTTAATATTCAATTAATGTGTAATCTCCAGAATTTGCTGAAAAACTGCCAAAATTGGTATTTACGAGAGACAAATCATAACAAATAACAGCTAGCATAGCATGTGTGTTATGTAGCCCCCAAGGAGTGTTATAGTAACGAGGAATATCTAAAATATAATTATAATTGCATTACTGGTAATCTATCATTTCACTGTTACGGTATGAGAACATTGGTAAGTCCAAAGCATACAGCATAATTCACCAAAATATGAATGTTGCGTTAATTAAATATAAAAAAAATTACGTACCAAAATTGCCATCCAATTCATTTGAATGCATTTCATCAACGCTTCCATTGGTTCTAACAAATGATGTAATAATTTCAACGATGTGTTCGACAATGTTGACAAAAAATAAGTGCTTCTTTCAAGAAATGAATATCCAACCTAAATGAGGCAAAACAAATATTTATTTTTTTCTACAGTAATTACATTTGTTCAAAGTATCATTGGAATCTGCAGATGCATTTCTGAAAAATGAATTTGTAATAATGCACACAGAAAAATAGCACCTTTTTGGACTTTACCGGAACGAAAAGAATTTGGTTAATTTGATCAACTATCCATACCTGAAGAACGTCCGCTGTGATATGAAACTGACGTGTTGATTGGTACGGCATCAAACCACCTTCCTCCTGACAAAACACATCTTGGAATAGCTGTAATACCTAAGTATAAAATATCCACACATTTGGTGATGATTTGGAATCAAACAAAACTGATAGAGTTGACTATTCAAGTACATTCATACCATTACAGTGAGGTAACTCAACATTTAGCTGGCTTTCAAATCTAAATCTAATCTGCGAAAATATGTCTCGTATAAGTAACATTAATAAATACTACACAGAATACATTAAAAGTATTGATGGCAATGATATTCACTTCAAGTTCAAAAATTTAAAGATTTTATGAAAAAGTAAAGCTAGCTACGAGCCAGCTTGGAACTCTTGAACTGTACTGTACATGCCCAGTGAAAACTGAATCATCGTCATAAAAGTATCAAATGCAACATATACCTTTATCTTATCGTCTTTAGTTCTAAGCCGTTGACTGTATATTAATCCAACATATTCACTTGGGTTCCATGATCCGCTGTGTTGGTTCTCTACCATCAGATCACACCATCTGAATAAATCTCTGAGATTGAACTCCCATGGTCCTCCTCTCTGGCCCCACAGGCATTCCACCATAGTTTGGTCATATAACTGTAATGCAAGTATTAGTATAGTTATGACGACATGGGTCATACACTATTATTCGGGAGTATAAGGTGTTCAGAAATAAACAATTTACTTTAAATGAGGAATATTTTTTACAGGCCCTGAAGCTGTATAACAAGACAACTAAGTTTGGTGATGAGAAATCCATTCACACAATCAGAATAATACAAATACATTATTAAACACTGTTTTAATCTAGATTAGGTCGGTCATCTGCCTGTTATTTATAATAACTTAAATTACCATTTTTCAAGCAATTCAAAACTTTCATATTTTTTGGCAGCGACAATGTTCATACACAGACGAAGTAATTAAGATGATGTTAACTAGATGACTACAGTGACTGTAATCGCAGTGTGTTATTTGCATACAATACGTTACCTTATTGTTGAACTCAATCATATTACGTATCATATCTACATCTAATACTGGATACATTGTTGACGTAATAAACAACAGATCAGCCGCTGACAAAGGCTCTATATGCACCTGTGAATATTAATGTACAATACTTGGTTTAGTTTAGTTTATTCACAATCATAATTTGTTTAACTTCTAAATATGCGCCAAGAAAACACTGCAAATCAGGTTTTATGTAAACAAAAATTCAATTCAACTCTGAAATCAAATGATAATGGTTTCACAATTCACGTTACTACTCCAAGTTAAGTATATTAATTACTTCAACTCGCAGCTCATTAAACTTCTGAAATTTTGACGAAAAAAAAAAAATTCTTCTGCCCAAACTTTCAGCGACCAACAAGACTTAAATGGTTAATATCATCCTATGCACACTAATGCATTTTTCAAATCTGTTTGGATGATGAGACAGTTGTCATGCAGAACAAATTTTGCGTAAACAATGTATTTCAGACACAGTGTAGATAGTTGCAAGGAACTCGCATCAAATACACAGGGGTGGCACTTAACCATCTGCTGATTAACCGTGATAACAACAAACAATGACATAAAACAACAAATAAAAGATTGTCTGAAGGTGACTGACAAACAAGCCAATGGGAATAACTTGTCTGTTAATTATCCTCCAGTTACTATAGCACATCATGGGAAGATCCAGAAATCATGGAATATTGAAAACTGAATGGCAAAGATGTGCAGATACAAATATAGAGATTTAGAGAAGAAATATTGAAATCCACACTCACCTGAGTAAATCTGTTGAGAAATGAACGTGGCAATCCCTTTCTTCCACCACCCTGATTGAGTGGATTCTGACATGCAAATATGCGGGTTTTCTTATGTTCGATTTGAAATGTCTTGCCTAACTCTGGTACAAACACCTCAGCTCTGTGATCCAGGCAAGCATTGAGTCCTTCTAACACTGATTGTGAGGCTAAGTTTAACTGTAATGAAAAAAACACATAGATCTCACTGTTAACGTCAACATCACAAGTTTCTTGTTTCACATTTCATGCCACATGGTTGGGTAAGTTACATTTCCTCTTTTTTTTTCTTAATTAAATTGTCACTTAATTTTCTGATGCGCAAGTTCAGAGAATGTTGCATAGTAACAAAGCAATTCTACAATGTCAAAATGGCATCAATGAGTCTAAACAATATGATACTCAAATCTAGCTTATAATCTAGTTCTGGTTTATGAAAACTTCTTATAGAGCAAACACAGTATAGACAATTTTTTAAAATATCTTACCGGCAGTATTTTTTTTATTGAATGACTTCTTTAGCTCAAAACATTATCAACACTGAACATCATTACTTCCATCCATTCACATCACAACATCAACATAACTGTATCACTTACCTCGTCTAACACAACCCAATGTCCAGCTTTGAGAGCACTCAATAATGGTCCATCTCTCCAAGCAAAGCTTCCACCTTCCTCTCCTTCCACTGGTAAATCAGCACCAAATAAATCGGTAACATCCTGTGAATGCAAAGAAAGAGCTAGCTCACTATCTGACTATACAATATTAATTTAAAAGCAATACTTCACTTCACAAAGGGTTAGCCATTTTAAATCAGGGGGGGCAGGAGATTTGTGGTTATTTGCAAAAACTTGTTTTATTCAAATTTTCTCCAATTCTTTTTCATTACGATTGAAACAAAATAGTTTTTTTTTGTTCACCCCCAACCCCACCCCAGAATTTTAAATGGGGATTCCCATTTTTAACACCACAAGATGGGGGACTTGCTGAACGACTCTTTGAAATTACCCACTGGCAGATTTTTGAATCTATGAAGGTTTTCTATTTTTGGTAACACTTCATAATTAATTTAAAGAATCAGATTAAACTTACGGTTTGTTCTGAGAGGTTAATCCTGACATACTGATGAGCAGATGCCTCAGCCATAGCAGTCACCAAGCTCGTTTTACCAACCCCTGGTGATCCTTCCAATAGAATAGCTTTAGGTAACTGCATTGCACGTAGTAGTCTTTGTGCATTCAGTGCAGTGGTTGGCGCATGTAACGCATAATTTTCGACAGTTGAAGCATCCATCACAGGTCCTAGAATACGAACAATACACTTGTTATAGCAAGATAAAATCTAAGCTGAAAAGCCAATTTCAACCTAATTCTATACGGTTGTATTATTGCTCTTCTGTTCTTTGATTGGTCTTTATCTACATTTTATACTACACATTCATGCATTTCATTCAAAAGGAATACAACTTTAAGAGGTAAACAAGGATTAGGGTGTCTGTAAATATCTGTAGCTTCTATCAAAACGATACAATGCAACAGTCTTATTAGAATATCTACACATAAGAGAAATTGTGAATTTTTAGTTTTCAACAATTTTTTTTTAGTCCGGCTTCTATTAGGGATGCGGCCAAATAATTCAACTTTTACTGTACTTCAACTTCTCATCCTGACCCACAACATCATCTGCTGGCGCCAGTTTTCATCAACTACAGAGACTTTTAGCAGATTATGTGCATTAAATCTTGGTAGTCATTTTTTGTTTGTTTACTAGCTTGCCTGCAAATAGACACCAAGCTTTTGGGAGCTCTAAAATTTGGTTGCTAAGTAAACATTAAAGATTTTCTGGGCCTCCTGCAGTTTAATATAACAATATTCAATTCAAAAACATAACTCTTAAGTAAAATATTAAAAAAATTGTCTGAAGGTGACTGACAAACAAGCCAATGGAATAACTTGTCTGTTAATTATCCTCCAATTACTATAGCACATCATGGGAAGATCCAGAAGTCATGGAATATTGAAAACCGGATGGCAAAGATGTGCAGACAACAATAAACCAATACATTGAAATACAGTAGAAAAAAAGTTATGCATGACCCCTAAATGTCACACATCCTGGTACTTTTGTATGTGGTGACAATAATCACTGTCAATTATAATTTCTCAATTATCATTCCAAAAAAACAGGAAGTTGGTCATCGAAGTTTCACCAAACACCTTTTAAATCTATGGTTTAACACCACAAAAAATAGGTAGATAATATTGGAAATTATTTTTGTAACAGACAATGCCCATAGGAAGTACCAGGATGTGTGACTTTAAGGGGGTCATGCACACATTGAAACTCACCTTTACGAATAAAGAAAGGATGAATACCAAACTGAGTCTCAGTCAAAACAATGGGATTTGTGGTTTCCATCTTGCCATGCGTAACATTGAGAACTAGACTTGATAGATCAATTTGGATTGCAGCCATTGCATACATCTGTGTTTGTAAATATTTCAGACAAGACCTCCTGGCCTTCTCTGATGTCTGTGATGAACCACTAGTTGTACCTGTGTAAGTATGTCAACAATATTTGTGAACATTCAGTAAACAAATACACATTAGTAGTAGATGGCCAATTAATAGATTTGTATGACAGTGCAGCGAAGAATAAAATAAACAATTATTACAGCAAGTCTCAGAAGTATTGGGGCAGCCAATTTGCAAACTTGCTAGCGAATTGGCTAACTGCTTGGGTTTTGACAAAACATTTGGCTTTCGAACTCAGTGAATATGTAAATTTAGCCATCAAATGAATTTCTTTACAAACCACCAAGTTTAAAACTAAGTGATTATCCTCGCAAATAATAATTAACCCAGCGAATATTTATCTTTCAACAGTAATTCTATTTATTGATCTCAATTTCACTGAAGTTGTGGGCCACCAGAAGCATCTAGAAGTGGTGCATTTTTACCTGCACCAAGACCATCCAGAAATACAAGACAGGCTCCGTGGATATAGGCGACTGCAGGATCAAGGGAATGATTTTCATCTTCTATACTTTCCACACATACGGTATTGACAAACGTCACCCAGGATAAGATATCCCGAATACTGATGGTACATCTGTAATTCAAAAACAATGATAGTGAGATGATCTAAAAAACAAAATTAACTTCGGTAATATCAAAACAATTCATGTGACTAAATAAACACCTGATTGTGTTAAGTAATGACATTCTCCAAGCTTGAACTGATTTCTGCGTTGGTGTGCCGGAGAGTTCAGAATCACCATCTACCAAAGGTGACATTTTACAATTCAAACCAAGGGTTTGCACCTAAGCTAAATTATTCATTGTTTATAATATCATTCATTTATATATTGAAAAAAATAAGTCAAAATTCAGCAAATACGATAAATACCGCTAAAACATTGTCAAACTGCAAAAAAAGGAGGTTCGTTATTGTGGAATGATCAGCATAAAAATTTTTGAATACAAAAAACAAATGATCTTTTTGACTTTCTACTGTTTTTTAGTATCATTTAGTTTTTATATTAAAAATATTCATTGACAAATATTCAAATTCACCTGTAGCAGACACTGATTTGCCATGTTCAGTCAATATTCGGAGAATGACATAAAATAACAAATGAAAGATTGTTCGAAGGTGACTGACAAACAAGCCAATGGGAGCAACTTGTCCGTTAATTATCCTTCAATTAATATAGCACATCATGGGAAGATCCAGAAGTCATGGAATATTGAAAACTGGATGGCAAAGATGTGCAGACAACAAAAATCTAGTCATGCTTAACTACAGCTACTGTTTTGTGTAAGTGAACTTGAACAATATTCCACATTATCGGATTCTGTTGAAAATTGGCCCATTCAAAAAATTGCCCTGAGCGATTTCACAGCTGGTGGGCCCTTGTTTGGGGTTCAAAATATGATAATTAAATATATTTTTGGGACTTCTATTTCCATTGAAAAATCCGCTAACGTTGACTTTCAACACCGAGAGTTATACCACCAAATCAAAGGAAGCTATTGCAGAAGCTAATTTAAAATTTGATACTTTTTTTCTCATTGCTACAGTTCATGTTCTACACACAGCAGGGGTTGCCAGACACCCGAGATGCTGAAAAAACGCCTAAAATTTCATTACAATGTCACAGAGTGTCATCTGAGTAGCAAGACTATTTCAGTGAGTATGTTTATGATTACGAGTGTACCTTTTACCCACTTCGTTGTTAGCAAACCATTCAATGAAATCCATCATGGCATTTCCAAGTCCACTGCTACCATCTTCTTGATTACATAGCTGTATTCCCGATGAGATGTTATGTTCAATAATGTTGATTAGATCATCTCTATCATTAGACTGAGGGCACCAGATCTCAGTAAAACGATTTCGCAGTGCTGGGGATAACTGAGTGAACAAGGGACAAAGATGGATGAGTGCTTAGAAAGACAAAATAGCACTTACCAAATGAAAACCTGTTAAGATATTGTTAATTATCGTTATAGACGGACATGCTACCATATTGTTATTTTGATAGTGCGGCCTCTATCAGTAGTTGATATTTAGGGTCAGGGGTCAGCCATTTTCTGTGGTATTTACTAGCTTGCCTGCAAATGTGCACTATACTTTTGGAAGCTCTGAAAATTTGTTGCTATGCGAAGATTCATGATTTTGTGAGCCTCCTACATGTACATGGCTTGCACAGTTTACCATAACAATATTCAATTCAAAAGTCACACAAATATTATAATAGATTGTTTGAAGGTGACTGACAAACAAGCCAATGGGAATAAATTGTCTGTTAATTATCCTCCAATTACTATAGCACATCATGGGAAGATCCAGAAATCATGAAATATTGAAAACTGGATGGCAAAGATGTGCAAAACTACAGAGTTACACAAAACAACTAAATTCCCACCTCTTTCTTTCCGAAATCTCCACCAGGATTCATCGTAGCAACAACTCTAAAAGTATCCATGGCAACAATCTGTTCTACGTCGCTATGAATACTTTCGCCACTGCCCTTCTCAGCTAACAGCAATGTTCTCTCTGGTTCAAGCACACTATTGAGTCGTTCCAGTACGGAGTCATCAGCCAATGAGATCTCATCTACTAGCAATGCTGTACCTTCCCTCATTGCTAAGACGAGGGGTCCATCGCACCACTCAAACAACTTCTGACACTCTTCAGAATCCTGAATAAATGTAAATAATAATTGATTTGTCTTCATTTGATTTGATTTCAAAGATGCCACAGCGAGGCGAGGAGGAAAGCAACAATGAAGATGCTATTCCTAATCAGAATTGAACACATCTTTCAAAGATCTCACAATAATAATACATTTTCTCTATTAAAAGTACATCCCTGATCAATATACACGCAAGTAGCATTTAATGTATACTGATCAGAAAAATGACTTATTCTGACCTATCATTTCCATACATGTTATTAAAGCACACGTGTTACTAATAAAGTAAAAATACAGTAATGTACCAATTTATGAACCTCATACTAACAATATCAGATTGTCGGTGCCTGACTGGTCGTAGTCCTCCAAGAAAGTCTGACGTCTCGGTGTGTAAATGACAATTGACAGTGTACAACCTTTGTTTGGCGAGGGCAGCAAATATCTGACATACAGTAGTCTTGCCACATCTGCAGGAAATAAGACGAAAAAACTAAACATGGCAGCTTTAACTTACTGATATCAAACCAAAGTAATTATAAAGTGCATAACAAGAAGGGAAAAATGGCAGACATGGAACATTTACTTTGGATAGTTATAAATTATCATATACACAGGGCCACAAAAAACATTTTTTAAACATATTAAAAACGATCATGGGCAACTGGCTTATTTAAATCTTGTACATTGCAATTGCATCACATTTAAAGTCTTTCCTTGGTTTACACGAACGCTACAACAAGGTAACACATGAAAGAAATAGAAGACGTTGCTCAAAAATCAACTACATGCATAAGTAAGACAAATTTAAATTTGTCACAATGATAACTCAACATAACAATGGATATCTTCTTCTTACCCAGTCTCCCCAACCAAGAGTACAGGCTCACCAAATCTCAACGCCTGTCCTACCAGCACAGCCAGTCTTCTCATACCAAACGTCCACACGATATGACTGAAACCGTCAGGTGGTGTCTGCAAAACTTGTTGTAATATTGGCAATGTTGTGGCCGATGTTTTATCACATAAAGTGAACAGTTTGTTTGGATCAACTCTCCTCTTGATGTGTTTCTCAATTACTTCCTGTATCACCATCTGCTCTTCTGGTCTTCTCACTTTACCAGCAAGTAATAGGTAACCTGTTGTAGGGATGATAAAATTATTCTAGACTTAATAAGAATTGTTTTTTGAAAAAAAATATATGCCCACAGTCTGAACTATAGACCATAAAGAAAGACTTTTAAAGATTCAATGTTTAAACCAATCCTCGGGGGCGGAGCTACGTCACAGGACGTTCCACGTTGCTACGATGCGCACCACTGTACATGCATTTCTATGGGCTCTGTGCGCGCTGCTGTGGAACGCCGGTCGAGCCGGTGTAAATTCGAGAAAACGACAGTAACTCAACTTTGAAGTAATCCAAATTCAACAACCAAATTCATATATGTTACACACGTAGGGCTAATCTTGTTACACTGTTCAGGGGAGTCTCAACAATCATCCCTAAGTACCGTTTTCTGCGAGTTTTTGGCCTTTGTTTTCACCGCGAGGGTTACCAAGCGGTGAAATTGCCCGGATGTCCGCCCCCGAGGATACATTCTCACACAGCGCCCTCTTGAGATCAAATGACAAACATCCCATAATAATCAGCTACTCATTGTGACATGAAGTTAGGAAGTTTCACTTGTGCATGAGTGCAGTAAGTAGTTGGCAAGAACCAAAATCAAAAAATAATGGCAATGACGCCTGATGTTGTTATGAAATATATATGTAAGTACCCCTGTCAAATATCTGACTGACATTGTCGCAGTAGATCACGAGCTGGTGCTGATCAGATACGTGCGATGAAAAACAACATACAGACAGGAACGCAAGTTTAAAACTTCACCTTCATCAGCTATGTGTCTGTCCCAGTCGTAAAACTTTTGCGTTGTTGTTTCTTGTGTACTTGCTAATCGGTATCTCTCAGCCCATCTAAACAGATCGCGTAACGTAATGTATCCTTGCTTGCCAGCAAACACACCAGAACTACGACGTCTTGCCTGAAAAATAATAATATAAGCGTTTTTAGTGGAATTGAGTCAGAAATTGTCAACATGATTTCAGTATATGTGCGATTATGTTGTTATCTTACCTGTAGTTCTAACATGCAAGACACCATTCGTCTACAATACGACAACGGTATCAGGCATCTCTCATGCAAAATAGTTTCCAGTTCTTTACTTGGAATTTCGTCAAAGTGCAATTCCACAAATCTGTTCCTGAACGCCCGAGATAATACCTGAATCACAATCAAACATAATTAAAATAATGACAAATTTATGTTATGACATGTCTAAATGATTATGAATGTGTCCAGTCTGAATATGTCTTATTGTCACTACGAACCTGTCAGAAAGCAGCTATTCTGAATAGGAAATGTCTGATTGTGATGGCGACAAGTCGGAAAACGACATGTCAGGAAACAGCCTGTCTGAATGCTTTTAGGTGGAATATAAAAGTCACTTGATGAAAATAAAAGTGTGCATTGCTATAAATCACACGGTAGGTTTGGGTAGTCGCATGACATACCGTTATATACACAATATATTGTTTCCTCAACCGTTATCTATATTAGATAATTTAGAAAACACCTTAGTATGAATTTCAAACACTGTATGAAGGGGACTGACCACCAAGTTGTAGTGATCAACGAGATGTTAATGAATCCTTCAGTTAATATGGCACATCAGGGAAAGATCCAGAAATCACAGTGTTGATAAATGGATGGCAAAGATGTGCATAAACCGGAAATGCAAAGATTTAAACATTAGAATTTTTCCACCTAATAATTATTCAACCCTTAAAAGTAACCAGAGAACAGAAGTATCAAGCCATGGTGAGATGTTAAGTAAGTGAAGGACATTTATTATTATAACAGTGGAGGAATGTATCAGAACATGATGTGCAGAATAAATTAAAACAAGTACCTTTCGTCCTCCATATAACCCAGGTGGATTCTGGGTAGCAAACAACATAAATCGTGGATGTGCCTTCACAGTCTCTTGTGTTTCTGGTATGAATAGTTCTCTGTTGTCATCAAGCAGCTGAAATAAAAGATACAAGATTTTATGATATCACCTGTTAAAAAGGATTTGTTTGGCACGAAATGAGCATTTTAAAATGACTTCCCAAATTATAACATTATTATAATTTTATTTTAAAATACAAAATCAGAAGAAATACACAAGAGCTTTTAATTCCTTTGATAAAATTAGGCATGAAAAGAGCGTTATTCGAATATAAATTAGCATCTATATTTATTTTTCCCCCACAGGATTATTTTGTCAAATTTCTCATAATCTTGTGTAAAAAGCCTTTTGTACATGCAGTTTGTAAACACAAAATACGGCACACTATATCTCGAGTCTGAGATGTGATTGGTCAATTCACAGAGTCAGGGTTTTACACTGTTACACAGAAGCGAGATACTAGTAACCCAGTTTACAAACTGTTTCCATAAAGACATGCATTTACATGTATAAACAAATTCATAAAAAATCATCCCGTACATTAGTTAAATAACTATATTGTCTTCAAAGAAAGACCAGGTGATAATTTGTTTGAAATATGAACACGGTAGTTGAATTATTACAAAGCAAAATGGTGACTAGTTTTGCAGGTCATTCCACTTACTCTGTTCAATGCTTCTAATACATCAGTAGGGGCAAGATTCAACTCGTCTAGTATAATCCAGTGACCTTTCCTCATTGCGTCAACCAGAACTCCTGGAGAATAATTCAATGTATACAGCAATTATTATTTTACATCATACAGCACTGACATAAGGTTGTATTTTTTTGGCTTGTGATTATGACATAATATCTTGGTATCAATTACTTGATTACTTACCAGAATGAATTACTCACTTTACAACTACGGTAAATTTTTCACCGCTATCAATTTTAATGATTTAATAAATTAAGGGCATTGCGAAATTTCAAAGTCAAAATCTTGAACATATTATCGAAAATTTATAAAGGGTGTGAAACTAAATTGATAAGAATGAAGATCCCATTTGAAGTCACTTTGTGAGTTGAACACAAAATTGAAAACCCTGTATTTCCATCTTGTACATGTGCTTGCATATTCACAAAACGTGTATTACTCAGCTGTTCCCCTGTTGCATTCTGCGATGTCATCGGTTGTTTGAATGATTACCAACACAGAACTCTCTTGGCATTATTATTCTTTTTTTCTAAATTACATATATTCACAACCATTAAGTGGCACTGTTTTCAACACTAGAGGGCAGTATGTTATATTTTCCCCGATGACTTCAAAAAGTCACACGTTTAGAATCATCCTAAGTACGTACTGAAACCCACCTTCTTTGAAGACTAATTTCCCGGTTTCATCAGCAGCGTAAAATCCAACATATTCCTGTAGATCGGTGTGTTCATGATTATTAACTCGAACACAATGATTACCAGTGGCATTTGCTAACCAATTAACCAAACTAGTCTTCCCAACTGACGTCTCTCCTTGTAATAAAACTGGATATCTCCTAAGCACAACAACGGAATATATAAAGCAGAACATCAGTTTATGATCATAGACACACTAGATGGGCATTCTTTAATCAGAAATACTTTGATTTGATGATTAAAGTCGGTGGCTTACGATTGACTATTACTGTAAAATACTTTATTTTAGCTGGAATAAATTTTCGCTGAAAAGACTTCAAGTGTTTTGCATGATTTTGCAAGTTATTTTCACTGATTTTTGACAAGTTGAATGTAAAATATAAAAAAAAAAATATATTTGCTGGATTTTATTTTCACTGAATCATTCTTTCAGCGAAATTAGCAAAAATTAATTCCAAGTGAAAATAAAGTATTTTACAGTACAAATGTACTCGGTTACCGTAGTTCAATTTTGAAAGGTTACACCACTGAGATATTCATTTTGTCACTATCTCAAAAAATAATTTACACATTCAAGTTTATGAGGTTTTACAAGACCGATAAGTGTGACTTATTAACACTTTAGTTCCCGAATGAGTACGACAAATTGTCGGCATCACCGACTCTAGTAGGCCAATCTATTTTGTCAAAACTGAAGTTGTCAGTAAATTTGTGAACAAGCATTGAAATTAAATGTAAACAGGTTTTACTGTACCAGGATTAATAATAAAATCAGTGAATAATCACCTCATCAGATAATATAAACGCATCAATTTATACATTTTACCCTTAATACTACACTTTCGTTTAGGTCTGGTAAGCAGCTATAATAGACACACATATAAACTTACCCAGCAGATACAATCCGAACCAGATCTCTAAGATTGGCTCTTACGGAGGATGTGAGAATGTAATCTTTAGGGGTAACCGGTTCCTTGTCACCCATGGATACCCAGTATGCCTCAATCTTTAAGTAGTGGCCATCAGTCGGTGGTGGCAGGGGCTGTTTGAGAACACTCTTGATATTACTCCGACCAATGATATGTTGGCATATCAGCTGCTCAACGACGGGGTGAGATGATCTGTCCAGCTGAGTCAAGAAACTCAGACAGAAGCTCTGAGAAGGAATAGCAAAGGATATTACGGCAACAGTAGATTTTTTGTCTAAGAATGTTTACATTACTAGTATTTGTTACTTCACAAAATATTAAATATTACAAAGTATCAATTGTTTAGTGGTTTTATATGTTGTATACAAGTTTCAGTCACTATGAAAATATTACAGCAAATTTAAAATCTGACAAGATACATCTCAACAGATGTGTTAAACATGAAGACAGTATACACTATTTGTATTCTTATAATTATCTCGTTGCCATGGGTTTTTTGTAGAAATTTTACTCTTTTGATGGAATAATTTTATGTATTTATATATGTGGTTAACGTAAAAATAAACAAAAAAACAAGTTGGAACGAAATCCATCCATAAATGCCATAAATGCTTGATATTTGATGATTTTTTAGCACAAAAATGACCACCATTCGGCCATTTTGAATAGGATTGTCAAACCAATGTAACTGTTTATCTATGACATGATGTATAATGAATATTTAAAATTTGAACATAATCAGTGAAAGCAAGTCAGAGATATGGCACGAGAACCACATTCATTGAAACAAAATGGCCGCCAGTTGGTCATTTTGAATCTTATCTGAAAAACAAAATTATTTGCATCAAGGTCCCATAATGTCTAATGTATATATCGAGTTTGAACAAAATTCATTTGTAAACAGCCGAGAAATGCTTGATTTTTAAGATTTTTCAGCACAAAAATTTTCGTCATTCGGCCATCTTGAATCAGATCATAAAACAAAATGATGTGCATCAAGGTCCTATAATGTCTAATGTATATACTAAGTTTGAACAAAATCCATCTGTAAACACCCGAGAAATGCTTGATTTTGATGATTTTTAGCACAAAAATAGCCGCCATTCGGCCATCTTGTATCAGAACGTGAAACAAATTGACGTGCATATGTGTAATATCATATATGATGTATGTGTGAAGTTTGATTGTGATTGGTCCAGGCATTTCTAAGATACAGGTCTGGACGCACGCACAGATGCACGGAGGTCAAAACATAAGTCCCCGTTTTCGGACTGTGTCCGAACGGGGACTAAAAAAGACAGTATACTGTATCTCACCTCGTACAGACATCTTGGTATGTTACCATATGGGTTGGTAGCTGCTTGTCTCAACGCTCGGCAAAGTGTACGTAAGCTGTGTGAAAACAATGATTATTATATTTAAAAAGCATTATTTGGTAGTATTAACAGTGTAAGATGTATGTAACTGCAAAAGTTGTACACTGAAATTATGGCAACAGAAGTAAAATACAATGAGAGGTTGAAACATATGTGAAGTTCATATTGACAGTTGTTGCAAGGAATTGTGGGAAATACCATTATAAAGTGGGTTGGTAGACAGCAATACATACATGTAGGGTAATTCACTAATTGTTTGGACAGGTCTTAATGTTAATTCAACACAAATTGAAACTATGTTGTTCAAAATATTTTGTGTCATTTTTCAAGTGTACAATACTAAGGACTGTATACTGTCTTGATCCTGTTTGAAATTGCAACATTTAAAAAAAAAAATACTAAATGTAACTTGAACATTGTGATAAACTACACGTATCTAAACAACAGTTGATATGAATATTTACCTATAGTGTGGTCTATGGCCTGTACCATCTGTCAATTTCTTGATGGCTTCGTGTCTGACTGTCAGGTAAAATCTGGGAAAATATTAAAAATCCAAAATTATGCACACAAACCTAATATATACAATAAAATCACAGTAAATTGTTGAATTGTTACTGCTATCAATTTCCCGAATATGATTGATCATCATGAGGACAAAACTTGACGAAAGTCACCATGACATGCTGTCTTTAGATCCCCATAAATTGCTCACTGCTGCAAAATTTTGATTCCCAGACTAGCACAAATTTTGTTCAGAGTATCTATTTCAATGTAGTGATTTGTGAAATCTTGACTTACTTGACAATGCCTTCGACTTGAGCTGCAGTCAAGGTGAGTCCTTGGAGGTAAGTGTTAACAAGAACATTGAGATCTGAAACTTCCTCTAATTCATCCACAAAGAATTCAGTAAACCTAGAGAAAACAAATCACAATGTCAATGGTGGTACCTAATTCATTGTTTCCTATCAGTGGCTGGATTCAGGTGTTACCTTACCTGTTTCTTATACCTGGTGGTAAGTCTTTCTTTCCTATATCAGTGGCTGGATTCATACAGGCAAACAATCTGAAGTTGTCATGCCTGACAATAGGCTCTGTATCCCTGGAATTGAAATGTACATAAATACACTGATTTTGATTATCATGACTTCAATACCTGGATAATAGTCTAACATGTACAGGTAAAGAGTACACACACAATAGGTCAGTATCTTTACGAAATACTTCAAACTGATTTTGGAAATTCCATTGGGAGCAGACAAAGTCATTCACTACACTATTTTGCCAGATACTATTGAATTACTTTCGACTGGTATATTTACATCTATTCATATTAATTTAGAGGGAAAAATAATTCTCCAAATCAATGCTAGCAAGTTCTTTTTTTTTTTTTTGACAAACTTGTCAAAATTGCTGTTAACTTTTAAGTTTTGGGAAACTCAAATTTTTTTACCACTCCTTAATTTGCATACTTCCTTGTACCAATAACTATTCAGCCACTACTATAAATGCTATAGTATATGATATGATATGTGATATGATATGATATGTGATATGATATGATATGATATGTGATATGATATGATATGTGATGTGATGTGATATGATGTGATATGATATGTGATGTGATATGATATGTGATGTGATATATGTGATGTGATATGATATGTGATGTGATATAT